AGAATAGCGATAAGTAATTGAAAGCAGAAGAAGGCAGAGGAAAGAGCTAAATGAGTGGCAAGAAGATACAAAATAAATGGTTGAAGTGTGCTACAAATTAAAGAGGAATGAAGACTGAGAATTTCCTATAAAAAGTAATAGAAAACAGATGAAGAGGAGGGACTATGAGGCAGTAGAAGAGGATGACGAAGGGGCGAAAAACAAGCAGAAGAAGTGGAGATAACTGTAAGTATTTTTGGGCTCGCTTTCGTTTTCAATTTTCAGTCAGCCTCCCCGCTCTCCTTTATTCACTTACATGCACGTTGGGGGCGTAATGAGGCAGAGTTTCCCTGCCAGTTCTGCCGCCTGCCTTTTGCTTCCTTCACACCCTGCCATCGTGGAGCATGTTTTATCGATAATTCGTGAGTGCGACGCAGAAAACACTGTTCGAGGGGAGTGGGAGCTGGAGTGGATACCAGGCCCTCCGACGACACCATCCACTCCATCGACCCATTCATCCCACTCACATCCATTTAGTCTGTATAACAAACAAATGTTTTGTATGTGTCAGGCGCCGGTTTTCCTTATTTTCCCTGCTTTTCCCTTTTAGTGTTATTATTATTATTTCTCTTTGTTTTTTTTTTGTTATCCGAAAATCGGTTTTTGCGGACGCGCAGCTGACACGGAACTTCACAGAACAGGATATAGCTGTATATACTTGTGCACGTACATACGTACATATGTACATATGTATACGTATATGCATGTGTATATGTGGGGCTCTAGGTGGGATCCATTCGGAATGTATTGACAGGAAATTGGAACCGGTGCCCAGGCGGGAACGGCTTCTGCCTCGGCCGTAAAGACTTTTGTTGACTGTCGATGTTTCGTAGCTGGTTTGGGGGCCTGTAGGCCCGGGGGCTCGTGTTCGTGCTGGTAGTAAATGTGGGCGTACATATCTTACTGGGACATGTGCCCAATAGGCGCCTCCCTCAAAGATAAAAATAATATGAGTTTTATTGCTGTAAATGACAAAACAGAATCTACCTATGGAGAAAAGTGTGTCTGCTGTTTGATTTATTTGTTTTTCGCCCGCGACAGGACAGTTCTTTGACTCCGCCGATGACGGGCTGATTGACATTAGAAGGTTACGAATGGGTTAAAGGTACAGTCAAAAGAGCTATTGCATGGGCGTCTTATAATAAATTTCTCGTGGGCATGTGATCTTGGGTAATTCGACTCTGGTTTTCCGTGCTCACAAAAGTATGCTATGCAATTTTTCTATGTACTCTTTTTCCATTAAAAGGACAGCATCAACCATCCACTCAAACACTCATATATTATAGAATTATTATTCAATTAGCGTGACAAACAAGACCCATGCATAATGCAGCACTAGGAAAAGTGCGGGTCCGAGTGGGGGGAAATGTCACCGAAGACATGCAGCAACAAATACAACTGCAGTGCTAAGCTTATTAATAGAAAACAAAGAAAAAGCAAAGAAGCAAAAGCAAGAAGACAAAAGCGCAAAATGTCAGCGCCATGTCAGAAAGCGCATTAAACAAGAAAGCAGCAGAAGCAGGAGCGAAAGAAAAAAGAGGACCAGAACCAGAAAGGGAAAGGGAAAAATAGGAAAAACTTGGAAAACAAGGCGGGCGAAAGTTAAATGAAAATGAAAAATAATTAGCAAACAACTGCAGTGAAAAGGCAGCTCGGAAAACAAAGTGAAAAGGGGAAAACAGCGAGGGGGAAAATGGGAGAGAGCGAGGTCTTGCCTTGGGGCAGAGATTACTATAATTATATTAAAAAATGAACATTTTATGGTATTTGCATTTTGCAGTTTTATTAGGGGAAAAAATTGCTTTACATTCATGAATATTATAAAAAAAGTCCCGTTCCATGCTTATAAACACAGTCAGTGGGTATATTTAAGGGTATAAAACCAAGTACTTGCCCCAATTTTTGGTAGCTCCCATTTGTAACGGGTCAGAAACGTTATACACGAAATATAGCCCTGCACTCAATGTGCACCAGGTGCAACAGCAGCAACAGCAACCCGCGATAAGCATGTCGTATGACATGCAATCCGATCAAAAGTTCCACTAATTAACGAAGCGAGCTTTGCTCACTCTCCCTCTCTCCCTCTCTCTCTGATTTTTCGTGCAAAGCTTAAGCTTCGAGTTCCACAAAGAGAACAAACTCTCAGTCTTTCTTGCTCGCGCGGCCGTTCTCATCGTTAATTTTTTTCTTTTTACTGTTAAGTACTGGCCAAACGAGCTACACCTCAACACAGCGTCAGTTACATACTTTTGTGCGAGCGAGCGAAATGACAAGGCGAACATGCCATGGCATGCGAAATGCAATTGGAAAAAATATTTTAAGAACAACAACATGAAACGCAAGCGAAGCCGAAACGCCCCGCACTTTATCGCCTTCATCCTTGTCAGAGAGAGGCAGAGAGGCAGAGAGGGGGTGGGGCTGGGGCTGGGCTCGACCTGAGGTTGCGAAGGTGCGATAAAAAAGTAAAACAAGGGAAAGCAAGCAGTCGGGAAACAACAACAAACAGCAATGAACGAGAGCGTGAAACAGAGCAATGGGAGAAATCGAATGCTGAATACCCTACAAAAGGCGCCATAACGGGACGATATTTTACTGTCGTAGGAATAGCCACACCTGTTTACGAGTCCAAGTCCGACTGAATTAAGGAGGAAATGTATCCGTGTCGTTGGTTTCTTTCGAAGAAATAGCACTCGCACACACAGGGGCGGAACATTTACAGTTTTACATGCAAATGCAGCGAAATGAGCCCATGACATGACATGCCAACGCAGAACTGACATGAAATTTTGCCGAGACATACTCGAGTTTTGGGTGGGGAAATGAGGAAATGGTATCCAAGGGACTGGCACAGGCCCCCCACATGACATGATGGACGGACAGAGTACGGCGACTGATGGCCCTGAAGTAGTCCAAAATAGAGAGAGAGAGAGAGAGAGAGAGAGAGAGAGGAGTACTCACAATTGTTCTTACATCCTCACTTCACTTGACTAAACGACTCCTCTCCACCAGACACGATATCGCCTCACTATTTGTACCACTCAACATTGCTGTGGAACTGTACATAATTCGTTAATTTTTATAACAGAGCCTAGTCGATGAATATTACTAATGAAAATCCGAAAATGTTGACTAAATATAATAAATCTAGTCGAATAATCGACCAAAGGTGCAACAAGAAAAATCATGTGAGGCACATATTAAATATATATATATATATATATCTAAAAACTGAACATATTGTAAACCAAACGATCCTAAGTTTTGTGTCCATCTATCTGTTAAATTTTTAACCATAATCAAATGCTATGATAGTATACCAAATTAAGGGCGTAAATTCATTTTATGCCCATTTCCAGTTACATTTGATGCTATTTCCAGAACGGCCTCCCACTCCGAACTCCTGTCCAATTGAACCGGAACCCACTTGACCAAACCATACAAAAGTGGTCCCAGCACAATCAATTGTTATTTATTCATTAGCTCATTAACCAAATGACTGCGGAGCACTGTCACCTTCTGTTTGTTCGGACAAACATTGACTCTGACTTTTTCCGTGGCTAGATTTTGGCAAAGTTTAGTTCGGCCGCGTGATAGCCCAGTTTACAAACTCGAATTTCACTTTCATTCGGGGCAAATACTCGTATTTGTCTTGAACAAAGAGCCAGCAAAGGTAGCTACTATAAAATCGAGTGGCCTGCTTGGGTCCAGGGCAGTCAGTTCCCGGCACATCAATCTTTCAATCCATCTATCAAGCAGCACCATGAAGGTCTTCGCTCTGCTCGTCTGCTCCCTGCTGGTCCTCAGCCTAAGCTCTCCGATAGAGGGACGCCTCTTCCTTACGAATCGCAGCGGCATCTTCTGTGTGTGGAGCGCTAAGAAATTGTGTTCCAAGACCACGCCCGTGTGCGTCGTTGTACAAGCCACCGCCACCGCCACCTGTAAATACTATCCCAACGAGTGTCAGTACAGCATCGATAAGTGTCTGGGCAAAACGGGTAATTAGCAACTATTATTTTAAATTATTATAAAATAGTCAAGTGAAGATGCAAAAAGTATGTTTCTACAATCTCTGACATTTTTCTTGCAGTGTTTGGCCAAACTGGAGTCATAGATCCTACTCTGGCTAAATGTGTGGGGGTTATCCCTCTAGGAGGAACCGGTACTTGCTAGAAAATACATTCCATCGTGCCATAAATAATTATCCTTAGTTACATCGATTAAAAATTGCATATTTATTGTCTATACTCTTCCCGGCTTTGTCATTCAATCACGCCGCTGATCAGAGCTCGGATTCGTGTTTTTTAATGGTTTTGCAACTCTTTTGGCATTTTACGACCCTCTCGCACGTAGCTCTCATCCTATCGCCATGATGTATGCTATAAAGCAGTTCTCTTCGTCCTTTTTTAATTGCAATCGCATAAATTGCAGTTTTTGCATAGAGGGAAAACGGGGGAAGCGGAAATTATGGTTATGGTCACGCAGACAATTTATAGAGCTTTTGCTTTTTAGTTTGCAATTTTTCGCCACTTTTTTGTTGTTGCAAAACGCAAGCGGACGTGAATTAGAATTCCAGAGAACACTATACCCTCGTTCATATATGCATACACCGCCCACGGCTGGGAGCTGGGTGGCTTTCGAACAATTTAAGCGTTGAAAGTTTGAAAAATGTTCATAATTTAAGCAAATATTTCCGCTCCCTAAAGAGGGTGGAAACAGAGGGTGGCTCCACTACTAGATCGTATATCCGCTTATGTGATTAAAAAAGTATTTCATGGATATATTATTTAATATCTATGAAATACTTCATCCACAACAGAGGAGCTTTAAATACTTAGACTCACTATGCAAAAATGATAGCCATCGATACTACTTTCGTCTTCCACTTCAGTGTTGGTTTTTTATGTCATTTATTTTTTCCCTGCGAATTTTGGTTGCATTTACGTATGTACCCATATGGCTGTCTAACCCGTTCTTATAATTATGGGCGTTATGCTCGACGACGAAGATGAGGAGCCCAAAATAGACGACAGAATGCTGGCCCAGCCACCAGTAGACGCTGAGCTCGAAGACGAGGACGAAGATGAGGAGAAAGTGCTGATGCAGGTTCCCGTCTGATTGACCGTAATACTCGTACAATTGCCCAGATTGACCACATTCCAACCTATGGGATGAATTGATAAACACAAGACATGCATAGAGGTGTATTCCTTGAGACTCACTCGAGACACTTGTCCGGCAATTGGCTCGCTCCAGTAGGCAGCGGTTCTTGAACCGGTGGCACCGGCGTGTCCTGCTCCACCGCCCGCAGACGTGGGAGGTGGCAAAGCAGCTGCTGGTGGTGCTCACACAGCGGGAGGAGGGCGTGGAGCTGCTACTGCTACTGCTACTGCTGCTGCTGCTGGAGCCGTTGGAGCCGTTGATGATTATCACCGATTTGCCTTGGGTGTTTCCTGTTGCCCTGGCGCGACGTCCGCTCACCGATCGCCGGCGCACATTGCTGGTGCCGGCCCTGACACTGCTGCTTGCCCTGGCACGCGCCTGACGAGGCGTGGCACGGCTCAAGGCCCTGGCCTGGGAGCGTCTCTGCTTGTTTTGAGCCTGAGAGGCCACCACGATCAGGGCGATCAGCACCAGAAGAGCCAACGCGAGACGCATTCTTCAATTGATTTTTGCTTTTGGTTCAACCTTCAGAGCAGCTCTTCGGTTTTATAGCCCCTAAAGAACGCTTCTTTGCCTGGCCTTGCAAGATGTGTATTATAATATTTCTTCCTCCATTGTTTAACCACATATTTGATTTAGAAAATTCTTTGCCCAATTGTGTAAATACTTGAGAGCGAAAAAGAAAGAGATGATGGGGGGTCTACGTCACGTGAGTGGAGTAGATATATTTTAGGAAATATGGCAAAGAACAACGAAGACATTTAACCAACTCTTGAATCGTACAATATATTGACTATACTTTTAGGCAGTTGAAAAAACGTACGATGTGTGCGAATATTTTGGCAAAAGTATGACATCGAAGCTTGATAGCGAATGTCCTGCGGAAAGCACATTATTGTGGGACTATAGCTATACAAGCTGTCTCCCCAATGTTGAATATACTCGTAGCCTTTTAATATAGCTACACTCGGAGGAAAATGTCATAGAAACACACCGATATTTATATTAAATAATCGGTTTTTTAATACAACAAAATTATCTATTTTGTTAATAGAATTTACTTTGACTTAAACATACTATACATATGTATGTACATATATGTATTAAAACGTCTTTTTAATAAGACCAACACATTATATATAAATAGAAAAACCTTTCAAAAGCAAACATTTTCATATTTATGTAAAAATTTAAGTAAAAAGCCTTATTTGTACAATTTCCAATCTCGGAGAAAATTTATTGGTACACATTGGAGGACATTTTTCGCAAAAAAAAAGAAGAAATTAATTTAAATATAAATAGGAAATCTATTTTTGTAATGCAATATCGTATATATCATCTGTCCGGTATATAAGATAAAATAATTCAGATGACATACATATATGCATATATCAGGGGAATTATTCATACAAAACCTACGATTTCGATATGGTATGGAATTTGTTATCAAATTCATGGCCGCTGAGAAGATTTCTTCTCGCACAGATATGTAGATCTTTGTGTTTTATGGAGTGGTTCGGTTTAAGTAAAGTTCATCATTTTCTTAAACATCATTTCTTATTTTAATAATGGATCTGGGCTACATATTTCCCATCAGCTCAGGATTCGTTATTCTCGAGTAATTCTTATACCGTATATAGGATTCACACAATCATCATATTTCTCTGAATATACCACCATTATAATTAACAAAATAAGTGGATCACTGGAGAACGTTTTGTTTATTTTGCTCATGATATTAAAATATAACGTTGATTATTTGTCTATTTAATTGTAAATATTTATGAGGATTGATTCAACATTAACTCGTAATCAAAGGTATGTATATTCGATAGACTTTCGAATAATGATATAATTTTCTATACCCTGACAGAGCAATAACAAATGATGGACAATCGAATTGTCGCATTGTCAGATTTGTATAGTACTCGGAAGGATCCACTCCTGGACAGGTCTTGCAGACGGACATCAGTTCCCATTAGCCAGATTCCTTAATGGCTTTTATGCCGCCAGGTCTGATCTGGCTACCACTGTTGTTCGTGCCACCATTGTTGTTGTTGTTGCTGCTAGCACCAGAGTTGCCGCTTAGTGCGTTGCTGCCACTACCACAGGGAAGCTTCTTATCGTAGGGCATATTTTTGCAGAGATTCGCACTCACTTTGCGGTAGACTGAAATGGAAATTTATAGATTAAAGTCACGAAACTCCGCAGATTCCACGCACATATGCTCAGGCCCTTGCTGTTGCAGTTGGACATCCTGCGCTGGCAGTCGTTCTTGAAGGCCTGACAGATGTTGGCCCGTCCCAGACGGGCACATGATTTGGTCTTGGATGAGCAACTACTCTGGACCTCCTTCCTGCAGGTCTGTGCTCTGCGGGAACTTTGTTTAGCGCGGGTCAAGGAAATGCTTTCAGGATGATCAAACCCTTCGGTGGTGCTGCCGCTGCCGCTCGACAGGGCCAGGTGGAGCATCAGGCCCAGAATGATAAACAAGTAGCAGGAAGCTTTCATGGCGGGGCCTTTGTTTGAACTAAACTGAATGACAATTGACAGAATAGCTTCTTGCCTTTTATACAATTTATCTGTATTTGTTTTGCAAAAAAGTTTTGTTGAAAACACTTTGCTCTAGTTACCACTCGAATTTGAATCGATTCCCAGCTGAGCTAACAGATCTCTCCGTCTCCCTCGCGGAAAGAAGTTTAGAGATTTTAACCTTGAGCTGCATAATGAGTTCAGTTTTTTGTTTCTCTGTGGTTTTCAAAAAGTTTATTCACTTAACAAGATTCAGCCTCGACGTATGATGATGGGAACAACATTCGAAGTCGAGCTGGAGGAGGAGGAGGAGGAGGAGGAGGATGAGCTGCCGCAGATTCCGCGACTGTTCAGGCTGATCCCCGAGCACCTGGAGAGGCTGACGGAAGTGTAGGTGGTGGAGCTGACACATGACTGGTAGCGCAGCACGCAGCTGTTCTTGAAGCGGGTGCACAGATTGGAGCTGCCGTAGCGGCCACAGGCATTGGTCGTGGAGTTCCAGCTGCAGTTTCTCAGCACGCAGACCTTGGCCCCTGTGTTGCTGTTGCCGGTGCTGCCAGTGAGGAAGGCGCAGGCCAGGGCCAGGATCGCCAGGAGTGAGGATATGGCTAGAGCGGCTTTCATTCTGCTGGTTTGGAGATTTCAATGCTTTTGATGCCACTTGGCTCGACTGTCTGGGCTATTTATAGTGCGCCTTGGCGATTAGTTTCGGCCTAGAATATTTCCAAAAGAAAATACATAGTATGGAGAGATGGAGATCCCAACACCTGTCTAAATAAAACGAGCGTCACGCTTGACATTGCAAGATGAAGGTGAGAAGGTGGAGTGGTTATTGGCTTGGCGCCTCCCCATTTATCTTCACCTTTGTTGGTTATAATGGCCATTGTTATAGACCTAGAAGGACTTATAGGTAGGTATAGAAGGTACATACCCCTCTTTGAGTACTGGGTTGAAAATGGTGATAACAGAAGTCTATGGCTTATGTTGACTTTAAATTTGACTCTTTAACTGTGACACGCCCCCTTGTATGATCCCATGTTTGCCTGAATTTACCAATTGGTTTCTTATGGTTCCAATCTTGTTTCTTGCGGGAGATGGAAAGAATATACATCTTATATGCATGCTAGCCAGATAATTAAAATTAGTAGCATACTTTCGGGCGGCGGTAAATAATTCAAGTAAAACGACTGCTGAATTGCCATTTGTGGGCGTATCATATAATAATCTGCAACGAAATCTTACTAAAACTCTCATATTCGGAGGGGAACTTTATAGTTGGCCAATCGCTTTGGCCAAAACGCATTCATTTCAATCGCCTCAAAGGCCTGGCGGGGAGTAAGCGTCCCGCGAGCATACTGCCTTTCCATCTGCTCCTCTACTGTATGCAGATTCAGGTCACGATGAAGGATGGAGCCGCGTACATACCAGGCACTTTGCAGATATTCCCCAAGCCTGCCCACCGTAGAGCCAGATCGCGGCTACACAGTGCTCCACTGCTCTTTAGGCTCTCTGTATGCAATGGAACTCTTTAGTAGCCACTTGGGCCTGACCTGGGCTCTCCAATTAACAACGATTGACAGAGATCAGCGGAAAATCATTACCATTTGCCACCCAGCCCATGACTCTTCAAGACCACCTTCTAAATGGAATGCGTGAGGCAGAAAAACAAGCGCATAAACAAAAATTAAAGCAGAAAAAAATCAACTATCACATGTCCAACATTATTATTATTTTTTTGTGCTTAGTTGAGTGCGCTTAGTATTTTTTTGTATGTTCGTTTTTGTTTGTTGATCAATTCGGAAAACGCACTTTTATAAAATGCTGTTGACGGCATTGTTGGTCAAGGCTGGAAATCAGTTTCGATAATTGGCTTTAGATGGAGAGTGCTTGAAAGAGCTCTTGCCGCCCCTCGCTCTTGATGTGGGGCTGCACTTTGCAGTGGGTTGCTTCTAGGAGCAATCAAAAAATATTTATGCAAAAGAATAACGTTTATTTCTGGCAAATTTTGCCAGGCTAGCCATCAAATTTGCATTTATTTGAGGAAAATTTCATGTGCGTGTCTTGTGCAGTTTGAAGTTTGGCTTGCGGCAAAATGATTGAGCCAAGTCAGGCCAAGTCAAGCATCCATTTAGGCCAGTCAATTAGTTGCCCATTGAATCGATAACGCCTTAGACTTCGACCTCATATCACACGATTCTGCTTGCCTGCCCAACTATGTCGCCAAAATAGACTTGCGTCTTGTGTGTTGGCTGGATAGTGAAATCAGAGCACCGCTTTCTATTGATTCAAGGTGAGTTCCACCCATGAATTGTGGCTTTAATTGGGAGCAATCGAATGATCTTTTCATTAAGTAAAAGTAAGTTAGATAAATAGTTATAATATAATGCTTATAAGTGAACTTTCTTTGCTATAAATGTGGGTTTTATTCGGATTTGTATAACTCATCCCCGTTCACAGAATATCTTCTAAAATTATAGTTAATTTGTACGAGTATTTCGTAACTAGAGCCACGTTCCCTCTAATGATTGCTGGTTATCGCGGTGTTTATCAGTTCGAAACCTCACCGAAATTATGCATTTACTAACAGTAGCTAATACTTTAATTAAGTTCATATCGTAAATTGATCCAGCGAACATTGTTAATCTGATGAAATCCCATAAACCGTGGAGTGCATTTCTTCTTGCTTTGTGGGTCATTTGCAATGAAGCTGCTGCACATTGCCAGCCAGCATTAATCAATTTGTCAGACTCAATTAAGTTTCAGATACTCTAAACAAAAGATCGATTATATAATCCGAGCCATTGGCAAGGCGAGCCCCAAATGGCTGCCGATTAATCAGCCATTGGCAGTGAAAATGGATGAGCACAAAATGGAAAGAGACTGCACAAAAAGCATACCCAAGAGAGAGAGAGAGAGAGAAGGGGGGGAATGCAGACAGAGATGTGGCCTGAAGATGCCACTTGAAGTTGGGGCCAACGGGTTTGGTCTGTGCTTTGTCGCATTGCAGGAAGTTGCAAGTTGTCAACGGGTTGGCCGCATTTGGCCATTTGCTACGGCATGGGATTGATGACGGGCCTTGAGCAGGGTATCCAAGGGTATGAACTGCCTGAGGGGAGGACCGCATTCTACAGAAGGATAGGAGAGGGAAAGGATATGTTATTTGAATACAGATTAAGAGTTGAAGGAGCCGCGCATGATAATGGTTTTTTCTTGGCTATCCTTGTGCTTCATTCCAGGGAAAGGATACCAACTACTCAATGATTTCCTCATATTTGAAGAATATTATCCGAATAAATACAAGGTCTAAGACTAATCGTAGGACCCATAAAGTAAGTACTACTGATCTATCCCTGCTCATATATATAAGTATATCCTTGTGAATCGTCATCAGCCAGTCGATCCCTTGCTGCACGCAGCTTCCTTATACAGATCTGCATTTGATTGCTGGCGCTGCAATCAAAATTATTTAATTTAGATGCGGCAAATGAATTCGCGGTCTGCGATTCGCGTGATGCTGCCAATGCGGCAACCAGAGTCGCGACTGCGCCCCCGTTTATCGGTAAACGGAAAGAAAGAGCAACAACAAACTTTCACTTTCGACCGCGTTCGCTCCGTCTCGTCTCGTCTCGTCTCGTCTCGTTTCATTTTGTTTCGTTTCGTTTCATTGTGCTGTCTTTTTCTTGCACGCCTTCTTTTTGTTGGGCAGGTCAGTTATAGCACAGCGTTGGAGTTGCAGTTGCAGTTGGAGCTGGAGCTGGAGCTGGACTTCAGCTGGGGCTGGATGTGGACCTGGGGGCTGGGCTGGTGCTGGAGCCGCCTGCCATGGCTGAGTGCATTTTCGATTTGGTCTCCTCTAATCATTGGGCTTTTGTTGTTGTCTAAGAAAATGTTGTAATATAATTTTAATTTGTACCCAGAAATGATTGCCAATTGCCGCTGCCTAATGTTGATTATACAATTCTCTTGTTGCTCATTTTGTTTTTCGCCTTAAACGAAAGTGTTTTGAGCGCTTTGGCGAGGCTAATACTTAAGCCACAGATTTGAGCACACAAAATTCGGGTAATTATTTGTTGTGGAGAGTGAGACCTGGGGCGTGCACAACACAAGACCATCGGGTATGCGCACGAGCATTGACTGGTGGCCATAAGCGATGTTTAGAAGGTCTAAGGTCTCTGCGCTGTGGCCGAAACCCGAAAAAAAAACGTACAAGTATGCCCTGTGGGCTTGGGTTCCTCGGAGGCCCCCAATGCGAGGCGCGCATGCGTGAGGTCGTCGTACTTAAATGTCAAACGGTTCGGTGCTCTAATGAGACCCGACCCGCAGCCAGCCAGAGCAGGTCCGTCCGCCCCAAACCAAGCCGAAGATTGGTCAATTCGATCGGGCCAAGTCGGCTGTCAAGTCTATTGCGGGGCTTGTCGCAATTGCTCCGGCTGCTGCCGTCTCATGTGGCAAGAAGAATGACCATAAGCAAGACGGATTATTGCCGGCCTGTCTAATTTATACAACTCATTGCGAGAGAGGCGACGACAGAAAATTCGTCGTCCAAGTTGGTCGTTAATTAATGCGATTTCGGTTCGACGGTAATTAAACTTATGGCTCTTTTACACACCCCGACAAATGGGCTCTACCCTGCCACAAATTGGCAACTATGGTATGATCGCTCTCTGGCAAGGCCTCACCTTATACGAATGCACCTTGGAAAGGCACACCTGTGGGCTTTGCACAGACGTGTGTTCTTTCACGTCGCAACACGCTCGCACTCCAACATGTTCGCTCTGATAAGCCCTCTCTCTCTCTCTCTGTTTCTGATTGTTGTGTCTTGCATGCAAATCAAGCGAACGTTTGCCTGCAGTTTTCTTGGGGCTTTTGATATTCTGTTTTATCCCCTCCCCGATCAGCCTCGTCTGGCAGCCATATTTGTGCGTTTAACGGTGCCCGGTGTCTGAGCGAGCGGCCACCAATCCATATTCAAGCCATCCATAGGTGGATAGCCTCCAAATGCCACAAGAACCCAATATATGGACGTGGCCAGTTTTTTAATTGCCTCAAAATCATACGCTTTGGTAATTTGTAGGCCACAAACTGTGATTGCAAAATCTGCACGGGTGGAGGAGTCCCAAATGGAATATTAATACATTTTTATTCAACGAGGACTTCGAGAAGGACGGAAACTTCTGCTGAATACTAAACTCAAGTGGGGCTACTGGGCCTTTGGGTTCGACACCAGGCGATAAAATCCTTTGAGAAACTATTGTTTTAACTATAAACTCTGTAGTGACTTTCCCTCAAATAAAATCTTATTGTGCTCTGAACCTAATGTATTCTATGGTCTACTCAATATGTTTCAAAACGATGTCTAACCATTTAAAGATCACCTTTCCTATTAACGCTTTGCCATTAAATTGACCACAGAGAAGTGTTTAAAATTCCGCTCTTAAGTGCTAATCAAAGCATAAGGGAATTTGCATAAGCAGAAGTGATTTCCTGGTATGTATTCAGTTCTAGAGATTAAAACTATGACTCCATCGGAAGGTGTTAAGACTTTCGCGATTCTGTCAAGATCAATAATACGATGATGATGATGATGATGATGATGATGATCATGAATGGTGACGATCACACAA